ACCAAAATAGTTCCAAACGCCAGATCTGAATGAGGGTGGGGGAGGTTCAATTTCGGTTAGCGTTGAGGCAGTTGCCATGTTGCAACGAGCTTAGCTTCTGTGTTACTAGCTTGTGCTACGCTCAGTGGATCTTTTTGTCAGGTGGAATTGTGACACGGTGTTTACGCAGGGATTAGAATTAATAAAGATAGTGTAGCAGATCAGTTAATTTTAATTTGTCATAATAATACCGTCTGGGTACTAAAATTCCAAACTTTATTTGCAATCATCATGTTGAAGTAATATAGGACATTCAGTAATGTCTGTGAACTGTTTTTTTCTGCAGCTGAATAATAATAAATATAATGTGCAAGTGTAAAAGAACAAAAAAATTTTTGTGCTTTTTTTAATGAAGGATGAAATTTATACACACTGATTAAAAATACACATATTCTCATTTAAGTTATTCATTCAGCTGCAGGATTAAAGCTCAAAATGTCTTTCAGTTTGTCAAGACCACTTAATTTCGTCTGACTGCAGAAGATTGCTTCTTCTTGCCGACGCAAGGCTTTTGTGACAGCATTTGTTGGACCGAGCAACACACAGTAAAAGTGGGCATCCCAAAGAGTTCAGTGCAGATCTGAGACGATGACAGATTGACACAAACAGTACAAGTTATTAGAAAGTGTAGACACATTGCCACGGTCTGAAAAAGATCCAAACTGTCGTCCTCTGCAGAGATTAAATTGGCCCAAACTGCGAGGAACCACCAAAGCCCGAGTCAGTGTCACTGTGTTGTGTAAGAACCAAGCTCCAACTCCAAAGCTAACACATTCAAGCTTAACTAAAGTTGGAGATTGTGCAGGGGAAGCAACACAACTTCATATAACATTATGCATTAACAGATTTAATTGATCTCTGCTATTTCTAAGTCAGAAATCAGATATAGCTAAAGTTTACAAGGTATGCTACATGTATAATTTTCATGATCTTGATTTCAGACAACTCAAAACTAAACTTGTGCATCATCAAAGGCAGAGCTGCTTTTGATATCGGTTCATTTTGTGCTTGAAAGTTGTCTCAAAAATTCACAAAAC